TCTTTGGGATTGTTCATGGATTGAGAAATAATATTTTTTGGGAATCCTTAAAAGGAGTGGGTTTCATCTCTTGTGTCTACTACTATAGGCAGATAAAGGTTTCCTGCAGGGCAATGAGAAGGGTTCTGAAAGACCCTAGAGTGTCTGCTCAGGGTGTGGGTTGAGGCAGAGGTGGCAGCCATGTTGTTTTTGCAACTCAGGGTTTACAGATTCCACCTAATGTGACTGAAAGGCAAATAGGATACTGTCAGGCTGGAGTCCGTAATTCCAGTTCCTCTTATCTTCATGATAAATTTAATTAATGTACATTTATTGAGCATCTTCCACACATCAGGTTACTTTTAGGCATTATGAGAAATTAAAAAATGAATCAAACTCAGATCCAAATAGCTAATGGGAGAGAAATACATGTGCATATTTAGGGGACAAAGTGATAAAATGCTGCAAGAAAGGATTAGATAAGTGTAGGGACAGGAGGTATGTTAAAGATGGGGAAGGGTACTTCTAGTGAGAAAGGGAGATTGGCAGGCTGGTGAGGGGGTGGTATAGGAATGGAGCCTTGCAGCAATGAGAATGACTGCTAGAATGAAAAGAAGGGGAAGGCGATTTCAAATTGAGTGACCAGAATGAATGAAAGCACCAGGGTAGAAAGCTGAGAGCTGTGGGTGACTGACTGACTGATGAGAATATGTAGTTGCTGTTTATTCCAGTTTCCCCCACCGAGTGAGCAGGTTGCCTATTGGGCTTCAATAAATTGTCTCCCTGATGTGACATCCATTTTTATGAGGGTTGTCTGGGCCAAGGGAAAACCTGCTCTTTGGAAAGATCATCTTTCATCACCAGTTGATGTGTGACATATAACAAATGTCTTAAAGGAGAGGCCTCACTGGTATCTCATACTGTACATTTTTATCGTAAACTTATGAGAACTGACAAAGGGTCCACCTTTCTTTCCTTAACTACATATAGAGTCATCAGATATTGCCAATGAAGAACATTCCTGACATTGTATTATTTCATTATATGAATAAGGGAAACTTTTTTTTAACACATTGCTGAGCTAAGTAGTAGTTGATTTGTTAAAAAATATTTGCAAAGAAAGTCATTAAAATTGCAAGTAAAAGATCATTGCTAACATGTTCTTATGTTATGTCATACATACACATACATGTAAACATAAGGTAGGGGTTTGTTAAATTTCTTTTTTAAAGTACTTCAAAAAATTTAAGCAATGCTTCTGACTTTCCTTAAAACAATAAAAATTGAGTGTTTGCTTCGGCAGCACATATACTAAAATAATAAAAATTGAGAGAAATCAAAAATTAAAAAAATATTTTCAACTATATGCAGAAAATTGTAAAGAGCCAGTCCAAGAAGTATGAAGGAAGAGATTTGTCAATAAAATTATGATGCACATTTTAGAGTTAGAAAAAAATTTAAACATCTTTGCAAAAATGAAAACGCATATTTGGAACATGAAGTATGAACTTGAATGTCAAGAGACTTCTCAGGCCTTCATTTTACGTATTGCTTTGGCTTGTCACTATCTTCTAAGCAAACCTAAAACAGAGAAGACGATTTGATGACACCAACATAATTACGTTCTATCCACATCCAAAGCTAGAGGCAAACTGGCTTGGAGTTCACGTCCTCTCCTTCCCTCCTCGCCCCCTCCCCGATCCCTCTTCCCATTCTGATGCCCTTCTCTGGAGGTTTTATGGGCAGCCTTAGATCTATATTTACCCGCTATATTTAGTAAGTTTGATTATGCATAGCCTAAATTCAGATCTGAGATGATGATCTAGATTTTTGTTCACTGAAATAACTTTTTCTTTTTCTTTTTTATAGATTTATAGCAAAGACTAAGCACTGACTTATTTCTCTCTCTTCTTGCTATCAATAGGCTCATTTGGCCTCAGGCCTCTGCCCTTAGTGTTCTCTTGTAGAAGATTCTGCTTACACATCTGCCGGCATAGTTCCTTTCTGACATTTAAATCTCTCTGCACTCTTCAGAGAGGCCTCCCAGACCACTCAAAGTAAATAACACCCACCACCAGCCCTGGCCTTGTCTCTGTCTAGCGTATAATGCAGTCTGCTTCCTGCTATCCCTTGATGTAGTTCATTTCTTATTTTGATAACTTTTTATATATTTAAAACATTTCTTACATACAGTAAAATTCATCTTTTCTGGAGTACAGTTCTGCAACTTTTCAAAGCCATGTACTGTCACCACTACAATCAAGATAAAGTTCTATCACCTGAAAAATGTTCTATCACCCAGAAGCCCTATCTCCCAGGTATGCAGGAGGCACTGCCATATTGGTTAGTGTAATGACACTCTGTGATGTTCACACAATGATGAAGTCTCCTAACTCTGTGATGCATTTCTCAGTATGTCATTAAGCGATGCATAACTATAGTTTTTATTTCACTCTGTAAATACCTAAGAATGTGATTACTGGATCTTATGGTCACTGCATGTATTGTTATTTATCTTAGTTTTCTCCAACACACACACACACACACACACACGCACACCCTTTTGTGCTTCCTCTGAATTGCTTCCATAGCAAATTGGAATTGAATGCCAGGAAACAAGAGAATTGTTGAACACCTTCACTGAGCATCTACTATATGCTAAGCAGTCTTCAAAGATTCTATAATTTAACTACCATGTGCATTAAGGAAACTGAGGGGTAGACATCAGGAAAGAAATGATCAAGAAATACAACCAAGGGGGCCTCCCCGGTGGCGCAGCGGTTGAGCGCTGGGTTGCGAAACTGCCCGCGGCCTCTGCGGCTCCAGGCGCCGGTTCGATCCCCGGCTGCTCCCCAGCCACCGGAGGAGGGTCCCACATGGCGCGCAGACCTCTCCTGCCGCCCGCTGCTCCCCTCAGCAGTGTACTTCGGTCCTTCTGCCTGCTCTGCTCCCCGCTCTGGCTCTGGTGAATTCTCTCACCCTCCCGCGCTTCTGACTGTACCCAGTGCATGTATAAACAACAACAACAACAACAACAAAAATAAATAAAATAAAATAAATAAATAAAATAAATAAACATGCCTCTATTAAAAAAAAAAAAAAAGAAATACAACCAAGATCTGGAATTCCTAAGGGAGAAACATTTTTAAACACTCTCATCTGCTTAGTTACGTATGTCAGCTAAATATGCCGCTGAAAGAAAATGGGAGAAAGCATCTGCCCGCACTCAACAGCCTTGCTGTTTTGACAGGGTGATCAATGGCCATGTGATGTGGCACCAGACCTTTGACAAGTTCTCACTCTGCCTTTGTGGGCACTATGTTTTGCCTTCATGGGAAGAAGGGACTGGTTAAGGCAAAGGCCAAAGACCTCTCTGGGTGGTTTTCTGGTGAAGACTTTGTTCTTGTAAGGTGAGGAGGGATTCAAATGTTACTAGTTTATTTGGTTCTTGCATGTGAAAGTTTTGTTCCCTCTCCCCAGGCAATTTTTTGGTCCAAAAATCCAAATGATTCTGTTTAGAATGAACCACAAATCATTATCTACTTATTGAGGGAGTAAGAGGGGACAGGAAGAAATGGGAGGAAGAAAGAAAAGCAGCATTTATTGAGCACTAGTTATGTAAACTGTTAAGTCCTTGAACATGGCATGGAAATGCCTGACATCTCCCAGTGAGTATGCGTTATTTATCTCATTTTGCAGATGAGAAAACTGAGGCCTAGGCAGGTTAAATAGTACTAGTGAACAGTCAGCCTGTTTTTAATGAGGTCAGAACCTCATTTGCTTTACATGGCCTGACTGAGTACAGGAGGGATGGGAGTGAAAATTCCTTCCTTGTCTCAGAATTAAAAATGAGATCTATTTCCCTAATTGGCAATGCGTTTCAAAGATCCCCACCAGGCAGAAAAATTCGCACAAAACATACATAATTGCAGCTTTGTCTGTTTTTTACTCCTTTTCTTTAATATCATATTTAATTTTCCCATTTCTGCCAAAGAATTCTTAGTTTGGTTGCCTGTGTTTGCTCTTCAAGCTTTTCAATGTGGTATAGACAGGAGGCTTCAGGCAAAAGCCTTGAGGAGACATTATCTTATGAGAAAAGTTTTTTTAATAAAGAACTCAAGAGTGACAATGTCCAGAAGTTTTTTTCTGCATAGCTGATTTCACATACATATTTTTAATTGTCTCATACTGACTAGGTGTAAGGTTGGGGAGTTTTCCAGAAACACATGTTGTAGCCATCTCACTGGGCAAGTTTTTGTATCAGACAAAATCTGCATAGCTTCTCAAAAGAGGTATGTCCTGACTCAACATGATCTACACATCTCCAAAATGTACTTTAATGGATTCATGTTTTAGATGGATTGGAGTAACTGTTACATAAAATCATTCCTTTGTGAATGAAGGTGACAAGAGGTCATCTTCAAGCTCCACATCTTACAGATGAGAAAACCAAATGCCAGAAGGAGAGTTACTTTGCCTGAGGTCACACAACTGTTAATAGCCTAGTTGGGATGGAAATTCACTTTGTAGGACTGCCCAGTATCCACTGTCTCAGTATCAGGTTACTGCCTATAGAATTCTTTTTTTTTTTAAAGATTTATTTATTTATACAAGAACAGGGGCATAGGCCAGATGTGCGGGAGGGTGAGAGGATTCACCAGAGACAGAGTGGGGAGCAGAACAGACAGATTGACTGAAGGAAGCAGCAGGCAAGACAGGAAGAGGTCTGCTGCACCATGTGGGTTGCTCCGCAGCCAGTTGGGGTTGAACTGGCACTGCAGAGGCTGCGGACAGCTTCGCAGCTCAACCGCCTGAGACACCAGTGAGGTCCCTGCCTACAGAATTCTGTTAAAAGGAATGTGAAGCACTCAAGTCCATCAGGATCCAAGTCTCCTCAGTAAAAGCATCTACTCTTCTTTTTTTTCCTCTTAGAAAAGGCGGAATTATTCTGAACCTCTCTATCTTGTCAGTTGGTCAATTGAGATTTTATATACATAAAAATGGACGACAGTATCTCTTACCTAAAAAAAGGATTCTTTAAATCGAGGATGTTCCCAGATCTGAAGCCCGTCTGGTTAACCAGCGCCACGATCTGAATGTCATAGCTCTGTCTGTATGGAGGGGGGGAGGGGAGGGAAACAAAAAAAACAAACATGTATATATACTGCATCTTCTTTAGCTACTCAACTGTTCTGGGGCATGTAGGTTGTTTTCATAATTTGCACTGCAATAAATACGGGAATGCATGTTTCCTTTCAAATTAGTTTTTTTGACTCTTTTCAGTAGATGCCTAGGGGTGGTATATATACACAATGGAGTATCACACATCTATCAAAAAAGCAACTTCATGCCATTTATGGCAACATGGATGGAGTTGGAAGGGATAATGCTAAGTGAAATAAGTCAGAACGAGAAAGATAAATACTGGATGGTGTCACTATTATTTGGAATATAAAGTAACTAAATTAAGAGATAAATACTAATTTAAACCCTAACCCTTGATAGCTAACTACTGAACTGAAGAACCAAGGTGGGGAGGAGGTAGAAGAGGGAAGTAAGCACAATGAACTATGGTGGTGACTATGGGTGAGCTGTTGGTTGGTGCCCGATGGTGGTGGTAAGTGACGAAGGTATTCAAATATTGTCTCAATTAAAAAGTATTTCCTCTGATTATAAAAGTGCTACATATTCACAGAGGAAAAATTGAAAAAATAAGGAAAAATAGAATGAAAATAAATAATTCCTAATGCCACTAGACAAAGATTCTTTCAGCTAACATTATAAAGCATTTCTCTTCTAGGTTCTTTCCCTCTATTTATAGATATAAATCCTTAACAAAATGATGCTTAAGTCTTCTTTTGTAAATTCTTATTTTATTTAGCACTAGCAAGTGTTTATCCTTTATCATAAGATAATTCTTAAAAATATAGTTTCCAATAGTAGTATATGGATACAGCATTTATTTAATAATTCTCCACTGTTAAATACATTTTTAACATTATTACTTATTATAACAAAAATCTAGTTTTATGACAGAAATTCAGCTGCAAAAGGACATTCTTTTAACAGATATGTTGTCCTATTTGTGATTATTTCCCTGAAATAAATTCTTTGAAGTAGACTTACTGAGTTAAAGGATACAGACATATTTAAATTTCCCAGTACCTATTTCTAAAATGTCTTCCAGAAAGTATACCAAAATACTTCCTCACCTAAAAAGTATAAAAGTGCTAATTTTACTATTCCTTTACCAATTCAACATTTAAATTCGGGGGTTTAAGATATTATTATTTTCATCTGAATTTCTTTGTTTTTCTAGCCTTCTTTTTTAAGTTCCAGAAATAGGGTATAACACAAATTTCTCTACTCCTACTCTCCACTCTGTAATTGCTGGTAGCCTGGGCAGGCTTAAAAATAAGTTCAGATTGGATGAAACCAGTAACTCAATGCTAGATTTTATTGGGCCCAAACAAAGACGGAAAAAATGTCATTCATTGAAACATGAAGATTATGTCTCTTGATCTTCAACTCATTTAATTGACTCAAAGCTCTTTGTTTTAAACTTTTTTCTTCTATCATATACAAATGCCATAGTTTACTGCATTTGTGCTATTCAAAGGTAGACAGCAGAACCAGACATTGACAGTGAGCTCATGAGAAATAATCATACATGAAAATTAATTCAAAATGGTCAAAAGAGTTGAATATAACACCTGGAGTCATAAAATACTTACAATATACTCCAGGATGCCAACCATAGAAATGTATTTAGGGAACAAGCCCAATGGCAAGGGAAACAAGAGCAAAAATAAACAAACAGGACTATATCAAAGTAAAAAGCATTTGTATCTTGAAGGAAACCACCATCAAAACAAAAAGGCAGCCTATGGATTGGGTGAAGATGTTTGCATATCACATTTCTAACCAGGGATTAATTTCCAAGATATATAAAGAATCCATGCAACCCAACAAAAAAACCAAACAACCCAATCAAAAAAGGGGCAAAAGACCTAATCAGACTCTAATGCAAACAATGGACTCCCAAAATACAGATTGCCAACAGGCACATGAAAAAAATGCTCATCATTACTTATTATAGAGCAAAAGAAAATCATAGTGAAATATCTCCTCACTATTGTGAGAATGGCCTGTATCAAAGGGACTGGAAGCAACAAATGTTAGTGATTGGAAGCAACAGATTTTGCACAGCCTCTATGTAAAATGGTAAGAAGAGTCCTTAAAAAAATGAAAATATCATATGAATGAGCAATACCACTGCCAGGCATTTACGTAAAGAATACGCAAACTGGAAATATGAAAAGGTTTAAATTTTCCTATGTTCATGGCAACATGATTCACAACAACCAGGTCATAGAACCAAACTAACTGTCCAATGACAGATGGTAGGATAAAGAAATTGTGGAGTATATACTCAATGGAATAAACTCAGCTCTTAAAAATGATGAAACAGTGTCTTTGGGGACAACACTGATGGATCTTGATGGATGCTACGTGAAATAAGTCAGAAAGTGAGAGACAGTTACCAGATGAATTCACTCATTTGTGGAATAAAAATAACCAAGAGAACAAATTGGTCAAGTGCAGCAAAAATAATTCTTAGACTCTGTGAAAAATACACCAGTTGCCAGTGGGAATGGGGGGGAAGGGGAGAAAGACGGAAGGGAAATCAGACTTTGGCAAGGGAACTCTGGTGAAGAGTGAGTGAGGTATGTGCACATATGGAGGTGTGAAGTTGTACTCCCAAAATTATACAGTATGTATACAACTGAAAAATTAATAAAATTTGAGAAAAAAGTAAGATACGTGAATACCAATCCAATTTTTGGTATACAATCTTTTTGTTTTAAAAAAAAAACTTTTTTTCCTTAAAGATTTATGTATTTATGCATACAAGAACTGAGGTACAGGCCAGAGGTGAGGGGGTGAGAGGATTTACCAGAGACAGAGTGGGAAACAGAACAGGCAGATTGACTGAAATACACTGCTGAGGGGAGCAGCAGGAGAGTCAGAGAGGTCTGCTGCGCCGTGTGGGTAGTTCCCTGGCCAGGGATTGAACTCGTGCTGCAGTGGCTGTGGATAGCTTCATAAGTTGCGTCTTAACCCCTTGCACCACCAGGTAGGCCCCAATTTTTGGTATACATTCTGATGCTGAATAAAAGGTGCTATTTATTATTGTTCAAAACCAAAAAACTCATAACAATGTTTCCTGTTGTGGTTAGGAAGAAGAATTAGTAAGTTCTTGCTATAGGATCCTCAGCAAGTCTTTCTCTGAATGCTATTTATGATCACATTGTCACTTTACACTCACTTTTCACAACCCATCATTCTTCTTTCACCTATCTTCAAAGTCCTACTTCCCCTATGGGAAAGAGAAAAAGAGTTTCATGTCATGACATGGATGTTTGCTCAGTGAAAAGCTGAGATTTTTTTCGTGTGTGTGTGTGTGTGTGTGTGTGTGTGTGTGTGTGTGTGTGTGGTGGTGGGGAAGCAGCTAGGGGGTAAGGGAAGGGCACAGTTAAATTCACTCTATTGATAGTGATTCTTCTCACCAAGGGAAAATGTGTCCTCACCTAAAATTTCCAGAGAATAATGCACTTTTCTATTCCAGGAGTAGCATCATACTAGTGCCAAGAGATCCAGGATGCTAGCTCCAAATCCAATAATGAATGTGCAGTGTTCATAAAGCCAGCAGTAAGTCATAATGTTCCAAAGTTGTGTCTACAGGACCTTAAATAACTGCTAATGTTTTGGAAACCAGTTATTTAGTGATGTGTATTAAAAACTGACTGAAATCTTAGACTTACTCAAACTCTGACAGAGAAAACAGGAGAATATAAGTGTGGATGTACCTTAGTTCAAGGTTGAATACAAAATAATTTGTCCACCAACAATTCTTTTATAATATTAAAGAATTAGACAGTTGGAAACAACACATGTAGGATGTCTTTCTGGGGAATGTGGTAATGGATGATAATTTCATCTTGGAGAATCCCAATCTTGGGATTGGCTTAGTGCTGATCACCAAGGCAGAACAGGATGGAGAAGCAGAAGTGGCAGAAAGCATGGGAAATTTGGCCCCAGTCACTGAGGATTTACTGGAAGATAAATGAAAGAATAAGATTCTCAGCAGGTGTGGAGGCTAGACCAGTGTTTTCCAATTTTTCAAAAGAGTTTAAATGTGCCCGAGAGAGGCATACACTGGTTTATAGAAGAAAATCTGAATGAATATTTTACACATTTTCAGTTAGTTTGTGTGGAGGATTTAACCACTTGCTGTCAAAATTTTTCCTCCTGTCTAAACCTGGGTACCTGTGAATGTGACCTTATTTGTGACCTTTGTACACATAATAAAGTTTAGATAAAGTCATACTGGACTACAGTGAGACTCAAATACAATGACTGGTGTCCTGCTAGGAAGTAAATCCGAGTAAAGACAGAGGCAGAGACTGGAAAAGTGCAGCTACAACTCCACCAGGATTTCAGAAGCTGAAAGACATGGGAACACTTCTTTTCTGGAGTCAACAGAGTCAACATGACTGTGCTGATACCTGGATTTCATACTTCTAGTCTCCAAAACTGTGACAGAAGCCACTCAGGCAATGGTTGTCACAGAAGCCTTAGGAAATTAATATAGTTATTGATCAAATGTATATTAGACACTAGTAATTCACTAAGTAAATGAGAGTTCTAAGCACCAACTAAGAGTTAAGATATTTACTGCATTAACCAAGTTCCTCAGGTTATACCTTAAGTAATATGGTACAACATAACTGAGTAAACACGAATTAGGTGATGGGCACATGGATCAGAGCTAAAAGATTCTGAGTAGCAAGGTAAAGTGAAGAAATATCCCAGAAAGCTGCACCAGCACGCACTGTTACTCCACCGCATCATGCACAACAGCTTCACTTTAGAATTCCTTCTGCTGCAGCTGTTCAAATACATAGTTGCTGAAAGATTTCCTCTTAGGGGAAGTCCAAGGCACAACATTTTATTTTATTTTATTTTTTTAAAGATTTATTTTTTATTTATATAAGCACTGGGTACAGTCAGAAGCGTGGGAGGGTGAGGGAATTCACCAGAGCCAGAGCGGGGAGCACAACAGGCAGAAGGACCGAAGTACACTGCTGAGGGGAGCAGCAGGCGGCAGGAGAGGTCTGTGGGCCATGTGGGACCCTCACCAGTGGCCGGGGATCGAACCGGTGCTGCAGAGGCTGCGGGCAGCTTCGCAGCCCAGCACTCAACCGCTGTGCCACCAGGGGAGGCCCCAAGGCACAACATTTTAAAGATGACCACTAGGAGCAGAACTTGAAGCTCCCCAAACTTTAATTCTTTGATCAGGACTTTTCCTACTTTATAAAATATGAAGCTCATCAAACTCTCTGGAAACCAAATCCTCTGAAAATCTTGGGCACAGACTCCAAATTTTAAGTTATGTTTCAAAACATAGTATAAGGAATCTAGGTTAATATAACAGTTATGTTTCATAGTACAGGATATGTGGTTGAGCTAGATCCAATAATCAGCCTATATATTTTTCCAATGATTTTTATATCTGCTTTCATGCCTTATAAAATACAGATTTCATGAATTTCTAGATATGTATATATACACAGAAATGTGTATACATAGAGAGACTAGAGTACGTAGTAAAGTATAGGAGTGAGGACTTATTTTTGTGCTTTATATTATTATTGTTATTGTTATTTCTATAGTACAGGAATATAATTAAAAGATCAACATTAGTATTCTTGGGGGACACGAGATAAAATGTTTTTACTCATAGATGCACATGATCAAAAAGCCTTGGAGACCACTTCTGTGAACTTTAGGGATATAAATTTCACAAAGTTCATGAAAATGATAACTTCTATTTTATTGTTTGGAGCAATAAAATGAATGACAGCCCAAGAATGATGGGAGGTTGTCAAAAATAAAATGCTAACTATACAACCACAAATGATCTTGGCAGGGAAGGAAAGGGCAGTGATTGTCACACCTATGTGGTTGCTCAGGGAGTTCTCCCTGGAGGTCAGAGTTGAAAAGAACATTTGACAATAAGGGAGGGGAAGAGCCTATCCAAGGCAGAATAAAGAGGTTGCACCTTACTGGAAAAAAAAAGAAAGAACATGAAAACACTGACCTTCAAAAAGCACCGAGGTTTGTAGAAAATAACAAGTAAAATCAGAATTTTATTTTTTTCAGGGAACAACAACAATGGGATTTATTTTAAAATCAGAATTTTAAAACACATTATCTGATGAGGTATGATCGCAGGAAAGAGAAATGGAATTAAGTTTCAGTGTGAACCTATTCTGTATTATTTACTATCCTCCTGTACTCTTTCTTTTAATATTTGCAAAAGCTTGGCAAGACAATCATTATAAATTCTACTTTACAGATAGTGAAGTAAGCAAAATGAGGCGCGAGAGAGATTCATTAGCTTGCCCAAGGTCATTCACGTCCAGAAGAGATAGGTACCGAACCAGGGTACATTAGAACCCAAATTCTGGTCTCCTGTCTCTACCCAAGGACGCTGCTATAATATAAAGATCTTCCTCCCTCTCTTTCTCCCTTTCTTCTTTCTCTATCCTTTGCCAATGATTTCTTCTTTCAATTCTGCCAAACTAAGTTTTTTTGTTTGTTTACATATTTTTTACATCATTCTTCATTTTTGTACAAAGTATGCTTTCTCCTCTCCCGTGTAGTCCCTGCGAAATTCCCACCACCAGTTCACCCAGGCACCATCACCACAGTCCCTTGTGCTCTTCCCTCCCCTGTCTTTTTTTTTTTTTTTTAAGGTTAACAAAAGGTTTATTTACAAGGGAAGGGGAATGAGGAGATGTGCAACTCAGGGAGAAAAGAGGGAGATAAATTCTTAAATGGTCCTACCTGTTCCGCCGACCTGGAATCCTAAATGACCTGCGGAGACCAAACCTGCCTGGCCAAGAGCATGAGCCAAGTGTGCCCAACCCCACTAACATGGCTGGTTTTTATTTACAAACAGAGAAAATGGCTGCTTAACTCTGCCCTTAGGTCCTCACCACTTCCCTCTGGGGATCCTGGGATTTGTAGTTCCTGGTGTCTTGATGGAGTCCCTCCCCTGTCTTGATCCTTCTCCCTCCTTCTCTCCTGCAGAATGTCTCTGATTTATAGCTGCCTGGTGATTCTGATTTTTAATTTATTATAAGCTAAATTTATTATAATTTATTATAAGCTAAGTTCTTAACAAGAGAGGGATCATCCACTCATGCCTCCTTCATCCACTCAGTCATTCCACAACATTGCTGAGTCTCTGAATTATATTAAATGAGGAGGGATCCACCAGCCAATAAGGCCCTCTTTATAAGGATGCTCACACCCAGGCAAATAATAACCACACAGTGTTGGTGTATAATGAAGGCACGGAGGGCTACAGGAGCCCTGGGGATCATGAAGCAGGAGCATGAAAGGTGATAGTTTGCTTTCTTTTTAGCTATCAGAGGAACAATAGAGAGAAGGATAGGAAAACATGACTGATAAGGATGAGACCCAATATATGTCAGAGGATATAAAGGAAAAATAAGACCTAAATTAATTCACTCACCTATTACATTCCAAGATACCTTAAAATATAAGTATTTGAAAACAAAGCAATGTTACCCTGGCTTGCAAAAAGCAGAAAAGGCAACATTTAAAAACATCAGGCAGATGTGGGCTATTGCTCCTTAGCACTTTTTTTCTTTTTTAGAACTGGTCATTAAACAGATGGTTTATGAGGAAGAAAGTGGTAGCTTCCTGGATGAACATGACACAAGTCAGCATTTTCCATTTTTCCTCCTGGAAGTCATCCAAAATCAGGGAAAACAGAAAGACACTGCAGACCATAGACCTCATGTTCTGCAAAATCAGGAGAAAAATAAATCTGCCGTCTCCAACGAACATGGAAAGGCTGCAAAAGCACTTGAGATTGGTTGGGAGCCACATGGGAAGAAGTAGAGAAGAAGTGCAAAGGCTGTTATGAGAACCCAGGGGAGAGCTCAGAAAGTGCTGGCAACAACACACTACCTGAAAGTGAGGGGCATTTTCTGAAATGTAAGCGGCTTAAACAGGATCTCTTGTAAATCTTGTGTAGGCATTGGGGTGAGCTAGGCTATAGGGGCGGAAGTGCTCCTGGAGCTGGAACGTGCTGGAGCAATCTAAAGCCTCAGGAGGGGAGCACTATTTTTAGGAAGCAGAATGATACATAGGAGAAAGAGCTGGCAAAACAGCATGGAGACTCCTGAAATTGCTCTCTAGGAATTTATCACCCATTAACTGGATGGTAAACACCAAGGACATCAATACAAGGACACTATTAGAAAAAGACCAGAACTGCCATTTGGAAGTTGGAAAAGACTTATTTCCTTTTAACTGAATTCAGAAACACAACTAAGGACAATGAATAGAATATATAGGAATGTAAAGGATCAATGGCAAGAATAATCTTTTAATAATTGAGATGTCTATACTAGAAATCATCAACAGCTGATGACCATATGAAAAGTTACCTAGCTTTACCAACATTTTAGGAAATGTAAATCAAAACAACTAGATGCAACCTTGAAAAATTGTTTTGGGGCTGATTAGACTGGTTAAAAAAAAAAACATGGGGACTGATAAGTTCCAGTTTAGAGAAAAATGTGGAGAAACAAGCTTGTTATCCATGGCTGGCATGGCCACTGAGAGAGGTGGTATCTATCAGACTGTGACATGTACAGTCCCTTTGAACCCTGTCACCATTTCTAGCCATCTCATTTAAAATATTCATGTCACTATGCAAGCTATATGTTTAAGGATATTTAGTAAAGAATTGTTTGCAATGGTGAAAATAAAAAATTAGAAGCAAACAAAATATTGATCAGGGTTTTTTAGAAGATACTGTCATATATCCATACTCTTGACCAGTATACTTCTATTAAAAAGAGCACAGCAGATGTGTCTGCAGCCAGGACTTATTACTAAGTGAAAACTTGGCAGTACAGACTGCTTGTGAAAAACGATAGCAACAGAAACAACACAGAAAACTAAACACCCTAAAATGATGTTATTTGTTGGTATCTGTACAGAAAAAATACGAAAGGCTGCAGACCAAGAAGTCACATCTGGGAGTAAGGTGAGGGATGGGAGTGTGAGTAGACTTAGATTACCAAACTCAGAGTTTGGTAGCTTTGAATGTATATGTGAGCATGTTAGGTTTTAATAATGAAAGAGATGAAGACTCTCAAAAGTGAAGGGTTCATTTTTGAGGTGGTGAGCTCTCCATCCTTGGTGTGTTTAAGTTCTGGACCAAGGAAGGGAGGGAGGTAGGAGGGCAGAAGCCTGAATGAGATGACTTCTGAGTATCCCTGATGTCCCAGAAGTCAGTGAACCACTCTGCTACTCCTTGCTTCTCTATCAAACTCAGGTGAAGCTCCAACAAGGTGAAAGAGAGCGAGCATTTTTAAAACGAGATAAATCAAAGTAATTACTGCAGAGAACTCATGAAATTCATTAGGAGAAGGAAGCAGCCAGTTCTGACACTGTCCCTGCAATGCCTTTCCCCTGCAGTACAGATCAATTCTGCTGTTCTAAATTAGGGGTGTGTGGCTAGATATAGGTAAGGGAGGCCAGGAAGGTGATGTGGGATATAAAATGCTTGATAATTAAAGCCTTTGGCAACCTCCCACGAGCTGATGGATTGATTTCCTTCCTTCTTCCATGGCCTCATGGAGAACACTGACCTTGAGTTATCTGAAGCTCCTCTTCCTTGCCACATTCAATCTGAGGCTTTACAGCTGAGGACACCTGTGCAAATTGGGGCACACCTTTACAAAGCCTGCTGTCCACTTCTAGTGATGGAGTCTCAGGGGTTTGCTGCCTTCCCCCAACTAACTCCTAGCTGTCAGGGCTTGAGAGGAAGAGGTGGGATGGTGTCGTACTTTCCTGCTTACCGTTTGTTGGCTACAAACAGCACTTTCCCTGAGAGTGTCTCCCCTTCCTTGGCAAAGAGAGGAGTCTGAAGAAGGCACCGCACCTGATACCAATGGGTCAGAGGTTCAGTTGGGGCTGTTGACAGCCAAACTGTTACCCTATGGGACAAGAAAAGAGTTAAAATCCAATTTTATTCCAGGCCCATATTAATGGATTGGACTGGAGACCTAGGCTGTGAAGTGGTTTTCATTGCATTTGACTCACGAAATCTTTTTCAGATAAGGATAGCTCAATTTATCAAGCAATTATTATGTGCTGGGTACTACACTGAGAGTATTATGCATATTATTCTGTTAAATCTGTACAGCCTGTAATATAAGCCCAGAGTGATTAAAGGACCTGCCCATTGTGACACAGAGGATTGCTGGAGAGTCAGGCTTCAAAACCATGAACTTGCCCAATCTGTCTGTCTATATTTCTGAATCAAGCATCATTAGAAGTCTAATGGATAAATTAGGAACTGATCTGTTTGAAATTTTGGCAGCATGAGAATTCTGGAGTCTGGATTCTTATTGTCTCATGCTAACTTGTTTAACACAGTTTCTGGAAGCAAGAAAAGCTGGAGCACATGGCCTTTGCTGGTCTTCCAGCTTGGGTTCCTGTATTGGTAAATGTGTGTGTTTGTGTGTGTGTGGTTAAACTGAAGTTCTTCATTTTATATGGCAAAGTGAGAATGTCTTTCTGTGCTTTGAACACAGAGGTGACGTGTCCAGGGGTCAGGCAGTGGTCACTGGCTTACAGGGGAATAAGGCACATATTAAGCATGGGGCCAGTTCCTAAAGGGTCAGTTATGACTTGAAGTTTCTTGGGAAAAACTTTATATAATGTAACCACCAAGTAAAATAAACCACTTTTATGCAGAAATATACTCTGCTATATTATGGAGTAGAAAGCAACGTTCTACGGATTTTAGGATAAAACATTTAACTACAAAGAAATGTCCCCTCTTGAAGCTTATTTCACTCCTACAGGACCAAACGCCTTTCCTTGTGATATTACTGGGGGAAAGCAGAGATTCCTTGCACAAACATGATATGCGGAGTAAGAATCATTTACACGCATCATCTTCTTTCCTTCTGATTGTCAGCCCAGACAAGGCTTCTGAAAATTCCCTCCTCCCCTGAGGCCCTCAAATCCCCAGAGCTTCATCATGGACCATGGGCACTTCTTTTGCAGCAGGTGTAATGATAAGCCTGGATATTTTTATAAGGATATTTTATACTAGAAAAGTATGAATGAACTTTTTTTAAATATATGAACCAGCTTAAACTTCGTTACTACTTGGAGATATGGGGATCATGGAACAGGTGCTATCCTTACAAAGATACCAAATGTTGACAGCCAACTTGAAGGTGCTGGTCTTTCTACTCTTTTCTCTGAAACTTTCAAATTCTTAAGGAGAGAATGGAGAGTACATGGCTGGAGAAGGAACCTAACGTTACAATTAGCATTAGCAACACATGCCTTCTGATCATGCAAAAGGGATTCCAGCTTGTGAAACGGAAGACTGCGAGGGAAACGGAAGATGGTAGGGGAAAGTGAAGTCCAGGTACCGCTCAGACACAGGAGGCTCTATAATCAGGTGAGAAGGAAATCAAGCTGGGACTTGGGGGCTCCCAACTATTCTGGAAGAGATCAAAGAGATAAAGCACAAATCCGTTCTCACTTCTCCAGATTCCAATCCAACTGGTTTAAAAGGATTTACAGTATTTTAGCCAGGGCTAATATGCCACTTTGGAAAACTGTCTCATGTTCCTTTCACCTGAAAATCTAGAAGAATAATTGATATCAGTGCTTATTTTTCTGAAATGTGAGAAGCAAATTTTGTTGTAAAAATTAATTCTTTTTTTTTTTTTAAAGATTTAGTTTTATTTATACAGTAGCTGGGGTACAAGCCAGAGACGCGGGAGGGTGAGAGGATTCACCAGAGACAGAACAGGGAGCAGAACAGGCAGATGGACCAAAAACACTGCTGAGGGGAGCAGTGGGCGCGACAGGAGAGGTCTGCTGCGCCATGTGGGAATCTCCCTGGCCGGCTGGGTATCGAACCCATGCTGCAGAGGCTGTGGACAGCTTCACAGCACTGTGCTCAACCCGCAGCACCGCCAGGGAGGCCCTGTGTAGAAATTAATTCTTAAAACTTTCAGGTTGTTGTTAGAAACAGTAAGGATAGCCTGGGATAGAGTAGGCAAAGAAAGGTGGTGATACCTACAGAGATCCAACAAAGGCCACGTCAAACCAGAAGGCCAGGCCGTGGACGAGGCCAGACTGTGCCATCTGAAACACAAAGGGGATTTCTACTCTGCAAGGAAATAAAAAAGGAAAGAAAGAAGAAACACTTGGAGTCATTTTTTTTTTTTTGGTTCTTGACACTAGATACATTTGTGAGAATGGTGGGTACATTTACAGAACATTTCCTTTTTCTCTTAAGCACTTTTGCCTTGGCAGCAAGGTTCTTTTGGTATGTGATTAATGCTTGGGTGATGCCATACATTTGAGAATGGTGCTTCTTGGCAGTTCTGCAAGGCTCACACGGCTGTGCTGCAATGACCCTGAACTCCACAGGGTGAGTGCAGCCTCCAGAGCTGGGTTTGACTACTGAGGAGCAAACGACACAGGACAGGTGACAACCATCCTTCAAGAAGTGAAAACATGGGCTATGGCAGCTCCCTCACACAGTTGTTCAGAGGGGAAAGGCTTTTCTGCCTCTAAAAAATGAAGTGGATCACAAGGGGGGACATCAAGCTCAGAAGTCATGGTCATGGTTCATTAGTTGTTCCAGGGAGGCAATATAACTGTCTTCCCTCACCTCAGGTTACAGCTAGACTCTTACAGAAGCAGTCATGGTTTATGCCAAATGCAGAATCACTGCGAATAGAAAACATATTGGAAAAGATGCACTAAAATATAGATGCTGGACCTGTTTTAGGCATGGAACCTTGGTAAATCAATTATCTGAACCCTAGTTTCCTCATTTATTGAAGGGTTACAAAGTTTTTCCTTTCTTCATAAGATCCTTGAGCAAGACAAATGGAAAAAAATTTGTATATGGTTTGCAAGGTTTAACGTGTTTCATAATTAAAAGGGGCCTTGATTAGTTCATTGCTAGGGCTTCATTGCTGTAAGGAGACTTATTTTAGCAAGTGTTCCAGGGATTTTCATAGGAAGTTGTGTATTATTTATATTTATGTGTCTCCAAATGCCTGACTTCTACCCTACAACAATCAGAGTATTTCTAATGTTTTCCTATTGTAGTTGTGGAATCAAATTTACTGGTATTGCATTGTAATGACTTCTTCCCATTTTTGCATTCCTTTCAATGGACCATGAGCTCCTCAAGAGCATACTTAAAGAAATAACTTATTGTACTTGTGCCTGTGCCAGCAAAGTACCTGTCACACAGCAAAATTTCAATAAACACTTGCTGAATCAATGCACAAGTGAAATGGATGTTATCTCTGGAAAGCCAACATAGACGCAATTTAAAAAAAAAAATACCTGGTTCCCAAAAACAGCCATGAAGTCAGTGGAAGTCAACATTGTCTGGATCTATGGTCATTATTAAGAATTGTTTCCAAACCCCAGTTATCTTCCTCTGAGCATATATTAGGATTGCATTTCCGTTTCACTGGAGCTCAGGCACTGACACACGGTTTATGCTGAGCAATTAAATGTAAACATAAATGAACTATACTGGGGCTTATTGCTAGTACACTTTGCCTTGCTACTTCTGTTGCCTCAGTGATCAGTGTTGTTCCAAATAGAGGCTGTTGCACCAGCCTGAGTGCTGGGTGTGTGATGCTGCACAGAAGTAAAACTGGTGCACAATCAATAAATGGTGGAGAGCATAATACAGACACTTGAAATTATTATATGCCACGAGTTTTCTTTTTGTTACACAACACGTTCTAGCCTGTGCTCAGTGATATAGCTTTCTCAATCCATTGTGGTCTTAATACAGATGATGGTTTGAGTTAGCCAGTTGCACCTTCCAAAGTCAGCCTGTGCTTCCTCAGTACCTTAGGCATATTTTAACCTGGTTGGGTCCTAAGTTTTTGCCTACAAAAAAAATGTTGACTATAGACCTTCTCAGGGAGAAAAGAGCAAAATACTAGTGAAAAAACACCTAAAGGGGATTCACATCACCATCTGAGAAATGAATCTTTACTTCAGAGTCTCTTCAAGTGGAGGGCAAGAAGATAAAAAGTAACATTTATCAAGTGTCCTCTCAGGATAGAGCCAGTGCCTTATAACACCTAGCACAGTATCGTACCTGGTATGTGCAAAAGCACTCAACAAGTTGCAGCTCTTCCTCATGTCATTATTTCAGCCACTGGCCTTGGTGAGTGATTAATATGTCCAGGCTCTGCGGGGTTCTGAATGGAGAAAATCCTAGTTCTAACATCCTTATTAATTCTGTGACCTCATGCACCTTACTTCTCCATTCTGCCTCATATTTGTCATTGGTAAAATGGGGATAACAACAGTACCAATTGCATATATTTGTTGTGGGGATTAAATGTGACATGACAGGTAAAGGGCTCAGAACAGTGTCTGACTATATAAGAAAAAGCTACCACTATTTTTTTCACTTGTTTCTTAAAAGAATCCAGTGAAGGAGGCATTATTATCTTCAATTTGTGCTAAATGGAATGAGTACTGACGAAATCATTCATGTGTGCAACTTACACCTAAAATCTCTCCCTTGTGTGAGCAGTAAAATTCTGCATGAAGTTTTGGGGATGGGAGAGGTGGAGAGGAGATTTTAAAACTCAAGAGTAACATTGACTTGTACAAACCTTTGGAGGTCTGCTTCCTTGGCGTCCATAAAGTTTACTGTGTACTTGACTGTCCGAGCCATCAAAATCCTAATGTCAAATGTGTCCTTGGGGGGGAAAAAGGCAACATTATCTTTTTGTCAGGGTAAACTGAACTCAAGCAAGATCATGGTCTAGCATTCCTCCTGAAACAGTAGGTTGGTAAGAGGATTTAGAAGGCATGAGCTTAATAGTAAAAGTTAGCACTTATTAAGTACTTACTATCTGCCAAGTATTAAGTGTTTTGTGCTTTATGAAGTGCTAAGTGCTTTATGAGGTTATATCACAAAATCCTCATGATGTCTCTGCATCAGGTATCTGATGTTCTTTCAACTATATAGAATTTACCTCTTCTCCATATTCCAAGAAGTTCCTTAGGAATTTAGTCCCCCTTCAACTCCAGGTGTGGCATGTGGCTCTAGATTGGCCAATCAGAGCATTAACTTCCCCCTGAAGACAGTGATTGGTTCACAGATAGACACATGAGCCAAAGTAGGGAAATCAGACTCTAAACTAATTACAGGGTGTTTGCCCAAGTTATTAGGAAAGGTAGGCACTCTTTAGAACCTAGAAGTGTGAGCATCTGAGTTTGGAACCCTTTGCTACCAGGAGAGAAGAAAGTTAAGTCAGAGGAAACTGAAATAAATGATGAGAATAGAAAAGTTAGCTTTCAGTGACACTGTCTGAACTTCTGCCACAGGTCCCTGAAGCAAGCTCTATTTCAAGGCTTGGCAAATTTTGAGGATCTGTAATTTCATTTTAGTAAATGCCATTTTGGGTTGAGATTTCTTTCACTTACAATGGAAAGAGTTTGAGATAATGCAAACTTAAAGTTCTCCAAGCTTACACAGTTAGGCGGAGCCATAATTGAAACCCAAATCTGTTTGACAGCTGTTTATTACAAAATGCCTCCTCTTCTCTTATGCCTTGAGCCAATAGAATCAACAGATGATGTGAATTATTGAACATGGATGAGGGCTGAGTGTGTACATGGGGTGAGTCAGGGTAGTAGGGGAATCAGACATTACTTAAATCTCCTTGCTCTTGACAGTATAATTCTCTGAGAATTTTCTTAACTGACTGGAATATTAGAGCTGGAAGACTTGAAAACCCAGTGTTCTAAGGAGCTTTTTCTTGTCTTTATGATGAATCAGCAAAATCTGGCAGCACAGTGCATCCCATGTACATGAGTGAATGAATGAATGAATCAACAGAAAAACATGTGGGGGGAAAGCTGTAAAGAAAATGCACTTACTACTATTGGCTGTCTGAAGTATTCATCCACTGCAGCACCTCGGAGACTGGACAGGTTAACCCCATAGAAGCACTGCTGATACCTAGAATAGGCAGGACAAAGAAACACCTTTCATCTTCTCTTTCACCTCAGACCCCAAGTCCCTTAAAGCTGTGAAGAGCTGGGAAGTACTTTAAGTCAGCCCTGGAGTGAGAACAGGTGAAGGGCAAATGGTCTGTAAGGAGTGGCAGAGGAGTATCTGGGAATTCAAACTCTCTAGAGAATCTATAGACCTGTACTTAATCTGAGGTGGAGAAAGAGAAGGTGGGTGGCAAGCTAGTCAAGGTGAAGGAAATTATTTGTGGTGAGATGACTAAGAATGGTATTTAGAGCCAGGCAATTCTTTGGGTTCTCACCCTTGACCTCAAGCTTTGTGACAAATTGTCCAAGTTCCAACATATAATTCCTTGGCCCTCTTACCATCCCAACCCAGGGTATGACTTCAGATCTCCAGAGCCTCTGGCTACTCCTGCTGCTTTAGGAAACAGATTTCCCCTTTCTGTTCTTCCCTGGCACTAACTTGCACCTTTGCTTTGGTGGCTGATACCAGGCAGAGTCACAAGTGAGGAAGGACTGAATCTGCTGGTGAACTTGAACTGTCTCATCACAGTCCATTGTGCACATTTCTTTCTGATTCTATGGTCAGTAACATCTGAACCACAGAAACCAGCAAACTCTACAAATCACATATCCTTCCCTCAGTGAGCCAGACATAAAGCATTTACCTTCATACCTGGCTATTTGTTACCTTTACATACCTTTTGCAATTCAGGCCTGGACAATTCAGGATATGTCTGGAGCATATCAGGCATACTGGGTCATCCTGACCAATGGTTTTGACTATTTAGAGCAGAGACCTAAAGTATTAAGAGGACCTTTATTCACAGGGCCATTGACAAGCTGTGCACCCTGGCAAAGTAACCTAAACTGTGCCTCAGTTTCTTGTCTCTAAAATGGAAATGATTATAAGCTTACTCTGTAGCATTAGAGTAAGGGTTAAATGATTTAATACAAAGCAAAGCACTCTGAGCAATGCTTGGTACTTTTATTACCAAGGATTTATTACTACTAGTATAGGCTAGTAGTTTCTGAACTAGAAACTAGAAGTTTCTGAACTTCATCTCAGATCAACACCAGAGACTAGGGCAGTGTTTCCCAATCTGACTGTGCCTGGGATTTCTTGGGGGAGGTTGTTAAAAACTCAAATTCCTAGGTCCAATTCCAGAGAGGCTTGGGATCTTATCACTGGAGACTGAAAAACCTTATTCTGAAATTGAAAAGAGACTTCCTTAATAAGTGTAGGGGTGTGTATGTATCTCTCTGTGTGTAAGCCCATGCACTACATAGCCTGTGAATCAGATAGTAATTCAATTCATCAGTGCCTTTTCTCTCTCAAGCCACATCTGCAAACCTACAGGGAGAAGAGAAAAAACCAACATGGAATAATCAAACAAAATTTGGGTACAGTTAGATTTTGGTGCAGTTGAGCAGACAAACAAACTGAGGCTCTAAATCAGAAATCAAAGCCTCAAATACCCTCTGGGAAGAAGTGAGGCAGGATGTCCTAATGCTGTTAAGTCAACAGTTGGTCCCGCACACTAAATGCACACTACTGACTGATGTATGGATCCTAAAGGGCTGTCCATTTCTCTTCTCCGAGTCTTTGGTTATTGTCCTCACTACCTAGAAGACCCCTTCCCTTTTTTTGCCCTGTTAATTCCTACTCAGTTTTTAAGACACAACTCAGATATTTCCATTGAAAGTTTTAAAACTTGGTGTTACATTTAAACAGTTAAGTTTTATCCACGTAAAACAAATACCAAGTCTTACCCAGACATATTTTCTTACTCATCATTGTATATTAAGCACTTAGCATGGACCTAACATACTGTTAAAGCTAAAATATCTACCTATATGCATTTATTTAATTAATGAATTGAGAACTTGGTGCCCTAAGTGTGGGCACAGGTGCCAATAAGGATAATGGAGAAACCAAAAGTAATTCACCCAAGTTTTGGGACATTATTACTTGTTTCCTATTCTTTTTCTACCGAGCGTTTGAGCCAAGCTGACTCACAGGTAAAGCCAGGAGACTGTTGTATATAATTTTATAAATATACATATTAAAAACAATTTTCCAATCCCAAGGCTGAATGGACCATTTAGCCCCAATCAGCTCATAGCTTTCACAGGATTGGTCCATTCTATGATCCTGGTATGTAGTATAAAAAACAGGCTGCTGGGCCCTGAGGAAACAGACAGAGGTGGCCTGTGGTGGAGCAATAGGATCAGACACTGCCCCTGCTGCTGCACTCTGGTTTCAAAATGGCAGATCCATTTTTAATCCTTCCATAAAGTCTGGACAAATCTGCATTCCAACCAGCAGCATGGGTTTCCTTTTCTCTACATCCTCGCCAGCACTTGTAGTTTCTGGTATTTTTGATATAGGCCATTCTCAGCGGTATAAAGTTATATCTCACTGTGATCTTGATTTTCATTTCCCTGCTATAATGAACATTTTTTCTTAAGACTGTTGGCCATCTGTGTCTTCTTTAGAGAAGCACCTATTTGACTCTTCTGCCCATTTTTTGATTGCATTATTTGGAGGGTTTTTTGTTGAGTTATATGAGTTCTTTGTAGATCTTTGATATTGCAGTGCTACGTCCAATAGCCAAATTATGGAAACAAATGCTCAAAAACAGATAAGTGCATCAAGAAGATATTTATAAATACACACTGGAATATTACTCAGTGATTAAAAAAAGATACTCATGCCATTTATGGCAACATGAATAGAGCTGGAGGCAAAATGCTAAGTGAAGTAAGTCAGAAGGAGGAAAATAAACACCAGATGGTGTCACTAATATGTGGAATATAGAGGAACCAAACTTACGATCAGAGAAAGACAAACTTAAAAACAAACCCCTGAAAGCTGGTCATAGAACTGAAGCATCCAGAGGTAGTAGGGGTGGGGGAAGGGCATGAACAAAGAGCGAAGGAAGCAAAATGGACTGTGGTAGAGGACTATGAGTTATTTGGTGGTGGATGCACTATTGTGATATCTGATGTGGGGATCCAGTGTTACCTCAATTAAAAAAATATTAAGAAAAGGAACCTCAAAAAATAAAAAAAAGTTCTAATGCCTAAATTCCATTCCCCAATTGTAATGTATTTGATTTATGGTGTAGCTCTGTGCTTGTTTGTTTCTAAACAGGTGATTCTAATGTGCAACCAGGGTTGAATAATACTAAGTTAGCTGTTCCAGAATCCTTGCCAAGTAGATGAAAGAGAAAACCTCAAGGGCAAAGATATCCCTCTGCCCAGTGTGAATGAAGTAGAAAACTTCTCTCTATTCTTTGCATACAACCTCAGCTCTCAGAGGGGATGATTCTGTGCCATTGGCTTTGTGTGTTTGGTACCAATTAAAACCTATCAGTGTGGTGTAACTGGGCACCATTCCTGGGGCAGACGGAGAGCTGTGGGCAAAGAGCCCAGTGGCTGGGTTATAGAAACTTTCTGGCTGAACCATATTTCTAATTCTTTGAAATCCCAAATCTCCTTCTGAAATGCATCACAAAATAATTAAAGCAGATGGGAGCTGGCATCGCTCTGGGTCTCCTAAGATGCACTGTGGGGGAATGGATTAGGAAATGAATCTGTTGACTTGGAAACTGGGGATCATTTCCATTGTTTTTATCATATGTGGTTTTATTTTCTAAGTTTACTTATGGCCTCTTTATGACTACATAAGGCCGTCTGTGTACATGCTGTTTCCTCCTGGCTTTATATTTCCAATTATACTCTTCTTTCCCCTTTCCCTTTCCCCTCTGCCTCCACTATAATATATGCAACATGTGGCAAGTCTAGAAGGAATGCAATCTTACCATCAGCTATGCATATATATATCCAGAGTACAGAAAGAAGTCCCCCATTTCCCATCACATTAGCTTCTCCACATAGAGGTCAGCTTCAAGAGGCATCCAGGAGAATCTTTCCTCTGTTTTCTCTCCTCTCACCCACCATGGTCTTTTCTCATGCCCTCTCCTTAGCATATCTCCTCTCTCCACTAATGTGCTCCACCTGTCTGAGAAGAATGGTGGCACCGCCTATGGTTCTTTTGTAGCATTCGTCAATCCGATTAAACAGAGAGAAGCTTCTCTAATGCAAGAACATCTTTCTTTTGCTAATATAAACATGTTCTTTCACAGCATAACTCAATTACTTTAATAAAAATCTTTGCATCTTCATTCCATTCTAACAAAAAATAATCCACTTCCATTAAGAATGTTTCTTCCTTGGGCCTCCCTGGTGGTGCAGGCAGTTGAGCGCAGCGCCGCAAAGCTGTCCGCAGCCTCTGCAGCGCTGGTTCCATCCCGGCCAGCCTCAGAGCAACCCATATAGTGTGGCAGACCTCTCCTGCCTCGCCTGCTGCTCCCCTCAGCAGTGTATTTCGTCAGTCTGCCTGTTTTGCTCCCCGTTCTGTCTCTGATGAATCCTGTCACCCTCCCGCACATCTGGCCCATAACCCAGTTCTTGTATAAATAAATAAATCTTAAAAAAAAAAAAAGAATGTTTCTTCCTTTGAAAAGACCAAAGGAAGAAAGAGATAAAAGAGAGGTAAAATCTTTTTCTGCTGTTTGACATTTACAAAATGTTGAGTATCTTAATGGATTGCAGAATTTACAGAATTAACAGTCAAGGCTAAGCCAACCAGATGATATATATCTATACCTGTTATCTACAGCTATGACTATATCTTTATCTCTAGGAAGCATTTCTACTAAAGAAAGGATCCAAGAATGTCACCAGTGGCACACATAGTGCTGAGGATGGCACAGCAAAAGTGCCAAAGAGGAGTAGGATACACATCTAGAAATATATTGCATCTGTATTTTATTTCCTTTACATTCCATCTATATAACAGAGCTTGAGATTTAGTTATTTTTGGTAAGTTTTATGCATGAGCAGAATGTCGACACACCATGGGGCAAAGTGCTATCTTTGTAAAGATGCTCAGTTAATCCTATCTCTAGTTTTACTGCA